CGGGACGTGCTGCGTCGCGGGAAGTAGCCACAGGCGTCTGCACACAGCACGGCCGACGGCGGCAGCTCGACCTCGTTGGGCGACTTCGGAATGGGGACATTGGCGGCCGAAGGGGCAGCACTCTGCTGCTTGTAGAACTCGGCATCAGGGTCGTCCTCGACCGTGGCAGCTCTCGGCGCTGAAGCTGACGAGTCGTTGCCGGTCAAGAGTTGAACATCAGGATCGTTCGGGTCGAGGCTTGGAAGGGCGACCTCGGCCTCTGGCTGCTCAACTGCGGGGTTCGACTCGTTGGGATCGTTGCCCTCTCTGACGGCCTTGAGGATGCGCGCTGCGTTCCATCGTGCGAACTTTATCTTCTTCTGGGTCTCGGCATCTGGCTGTCCCCAGATGTTGAGGAGCTGGAAGAATGTCGCAGCAGCGTCAAACGTATCGGCAGTTTGACGAGTCACTTTATTGGCGTTCATGACGCGCTCGGCGCGACCAAACGTTTGCTGCGCAAACTGCTCGACGACGGCCTGGCCGACGGCATCATCCATAATGTCCTCGTCGTCAGGCCGTTCCGTCTTGGTCTTCTCAAGCTGGTCCATGAGGTTCATGGTGTAGGCGAGGGAATCATCGTCGGTGTTGTGCAGCTGTTTCGCGAGAATCTGATTGACCACCCAGTACTCGCCTGAGAGGTTTCTGTCAGGTAAATGGTTGATAGAACACCTGAAAAGAGCTTAGGGAAACGTACACCAGTAGGTCACGGCTGGCTTGACGGAGCGAAGCTGGTTTGCGCGGTTGATAAACCTCGTGATGTCCGCTTGGCGCAAACTGGCGGGGATGGCTTCGGCCATTGTCGATCGCTACAGTAACAGGACGCCTGCGAAAGACAGATAGATGGGGGATCGGGCAGTGGACGGAGAGAACTTCAGTTACGACGTAGGGAATACGAGCTGGACGACGCTGGAGGTTTGGACGTTGAAGTTGCGCGAGAGGATGTCGGCAGCCTAGTTCATCAAGGTACCACCTTCCCACAGAATGGAGGAGACGCAGACAGTAGTGGCGACCAGGCGCTAGACCGCAGACGAGCAGGTTCCAGGCTGACGTCGCTAAGGTACAGCGCTGTTTGGCGGCCAAGCCCCACAGACGCAGAAACAGTGGAGTCAGCGGCGGGTGCGAGCTCGAAGCTGGTGTGGGGAATGCTATGATGTGCCAATGGACCAAGGCCTATTCAGAGCCTGTCGTCCTTAAGGTAGGTACCTACGGGCCAGCAAAGCCTCCTGTGCTCCCCTGTAGCCTGTTCGCTCCCATCTTCCACGCTGGCCTTTTGCCAAAAATAAGAACAAGAACACAACACCACCACCACCTTTGGATGCTGCCAGCTGTCTGAAATATATGGTAGGTATCTTCTGGCAAACGACCACCTCTCATTGATTGAAATCACCTCACTCTTCGCACGGAAACAACCCCAGACTGTTCCAGTGCACCTTGTCCACTTACACGATGCATCATCCCACCCTCCTCGCTGTGGGCATCGCCGCCCTGGTATCCATGCCTGGGGCCATGGCAGGCATGTACCCTAAGAGCTCTGCTGTTCTCCAGGTGGATGGCAAGAGCTACGACCGCTTGATTGCGCAGTCGAACTACACTTCGGTATGAATTGGCCACATTTCTTTTGAGCGTTCTCTTCCCTTGTTGACATCGCCATGTTGTCCAGATTGTCGAGTTTTACGCCCCCTGGTGCGGCCACTGCAAGAACCTCCAGCCCGCCTACGAGAAGGCAGCCAAGAGCCTCGAAGGACTTGCCAAGGTCGCCGCCGTCGACTGTGACGATGATGCCAACAAGCCTCTCTGCGGTCAGTTTGGCATCCAGGGCTTCCCCACCCTCAAAATCATTCGCCCTGGCAAGAAGAGCGGCAAGCCCGCCGTCGAAGACTACAACGGACCCCGCACCGCCACCGGCATCGTCGACGCCCTTGTGGACAAGATCAACAACCATGTCAAGAAGGTGACCGACAAGGACCTCGATGCCTTTGTCGCCTCTGGCACCGACAAGCCCAGGGCCATCCTCTTCACCGAGAAGGGCACAACGAGCCCGCTGCTCCGCAGCATCGCCATTGACTTTCTCGATGTCATCACGATTGCGCAGGCGAGGAACAACCAGAAGGCCGTTGTTGAAAAGTATGGAATCGAAAAGTTCCCCACACTGATCCTGCTGCCCGTCGGCGCCAGCGAGCCTATCGTCTACGATGGCGCCATGAAGAAGCCCGCCATCGTCGAGTTCCTCTCTCAGGCCGGCACCCCTAACCCCGACCCTCCCGTCAAGGCTGGCAAGAAGGCCAAGTCCACTCCTAAGGCCGAACCCAAGGCTAAGGCTGCCGAGGAGAAGCCTGCCCCTGAAGCTGCGGCCGAAGATGTTGTCGAGGAGCCTGTTGCCACCCCGGCAGCACCCGCTGCGGCGCCCATTCCCTCCGTCGACACGGCCGAGCTTCAGAAGGAGTGCCTGGCCCCCAAGTCTCACACGTGCATTCTGGCTCTCGTCCCGACCACCGCCAACGACAAGTCGGAGAAGGTTCTCGGCTCCCTCGCTGAGCTGGCTCACAAGTACACTCAGGGCGGCCGTCACCTGTTCCCCTTCTACGCTGTCTCCGGCGAGAACCCGAGCGCTGCCACGCTGACCAAGACGCTGAGCCTCAAGACTGACGTTGAGCTTGTTGCTGTGAACGCCCGCCGGGCTGGTGAGGCACTACGAGGGCGAGGCGATGCCGCGAGCGTCGAGCTTGATTGATGCATCGCATGGCGATGTGCAGACAAGCTTCTGCGAACTGATGTGCGCCCAGTGTGAAGA